TCTCCATGTGTATGAAATTGGGGGTCAGTTGTTACAGATCAATCAGTCCATATACAAACAGTGTGAGTGTTTCATTTGTATAGCCAGCAGTAAGTCAAACCCCGTCAGGATGGGAGTTGAACCCTACCAGGGCTGTCTACTCTCCCCCATTCTGTTCATAACTTTATGGACAGAATTTCATGGTTCAGCTAGGAGGCAAAGGGAGTCAGGTTCAGTGTCCTCAGGATTCTGTCTTCTACTTGCAGATGATGCGGTCCTGTTGATGTTGTTTTCAGCTCTCACTGGAGCAGTTTGCAGCCAAGTGTGAAGCAGATAAGATGAGGTTCAGCATCCCCAAACTTGAAGCCATGGTTCTCAGTCAAAAAGGGGGGATTGTCCTGTTTGGTTTGGAGGTTAGGTGCTGTCTCAAATGGAGAAGTTCAAGTTTCTTAGGGTTTTGTTCATTGGTGAGGGAAGAATGGAGCATGAGCTCAACAGACCAATCGGTGCAGCTTCTGCAGTTTTGCGGACTCTGTGCAGGTCTGTTGTAGTGAGGAGGGAGCTGAGCTGTAAGACGAAGCTCTCTGTTTACCAAATGATCTATGTTCCTACCCTATCCTATGAACACAAACTTTGGAAAGTGACCAATAGAATGAGAATGCAAATACAGGCAGTAAAAATGAGTTTTCTCTGCAAGATTAGCTGGATTCTCCCTTAGAAATAGGTTGAGAAGTTCAGTGAGAGATTCGGAGTCGAGCTGCTGCTCCTCTAAATTGAAAGGAGCCAGTTGAGGAGATTCGGACATCTGGTAAAGATACTGTACCTCCTGGGCACCGCCCTAATGAGGTGCTCCGTGCTAGTTCAAATGTGAGGAGACATCAGGGAAGATTCAGGACATGCTAGAGAGACTACGTCTCCTTGACTGGACTGGGAATGTCTTGGAATTCACCCAGAAAAGTTATAAAAAGTGACTGTGGAAAAAGATATTTGGGGCTTCCCTGCTTAAGTTGATGCCCCCTTGAACTGACTCCAGTGAAATATAATGGATGGAAAGATTTAAATGGTTCTCTTACAGAGATGCTTACCTGAATGTATTCTGGGTATTTCCTTAGCACCTTATGAAGCTCCTGCAAATGTTGAAGGTCGAGCTCTGTCTGCCACAGCAGCAACAATCTCCTGGATTTCCCTTTCACAGAGTAACATAGATGGATACCAGGTTAGTAAGACTCTCTGTTAATATACCTACATTTTTGTTAAGTTGCATGAATGTTTTGATCATCTTTATTTTAAATATACTCTTTGAAAACATTTAAATAAAAATTTTGCACTCTGCATAATATTCATTAAAGCCCTTAGAGGCCATAAAGCATTGAAACATTTTATTTTAAGACTGGTTCTCCCCACTGGGTACACAGGAAACAATATTATATAAGTGTACCCTTTTTTTGCACATTTCAGTTTTTTAGTTTACACACATGGGCAAATGGAGTGAAAACAGTAAATTAACCCTTTAAAATGTGGTTACTTAAAAAACACAAAATGTTTTGTAGACAGTTTTATTATCACCCAAAGCATTTGTGCTTTATTTTTTTATTTTTTTATTTTGTTAATCTTTCAGTTACCTCATGTCAATTGTTTAAAAATAAATCATTGGTATCTTCATTAAATATTTTTGACCTTTTTTTCATTTAATGGATCCTAAAGGTCATCCATCCATCCATCCATCCATCCATCCATCCATCCATCCATCCATCCTCCATTGTTTTTACTCGCTTCTTCCATTTTGGGGTTGTGGGGTCACTAGTACCCATGTCCAAAAGTCAATGTGCGAGAGGGACACATTCATTCATTCAACCTTTATTTAGACAGGTAAATCCCATTGATCCTCGAGGACTCATTTACAAGAGAGACCTGAACACCCTGGACAGGTCTACGGTCCATCACAGGGACACATAGAGACAAACGATATAAACAACCATTCACTCTCTCACTCACACCTAGGGACAATTTAGAGTTAGCAATCAGTCTAACATGCATATTTTTAGTCTGTGGGAGAAAACCCACAGATGCATGAAGAGAATATGCAGACTCCACCCAGAAAGGTCCCAGTCTGGGATTTGAAAAAACAACCTTCTCTCTGAGAGGCAACAACTCTACCAACTGTGCCACGGTGATTCAATGATTCAAGTTTCTTTATTGTCATTCACATCACATGTGGTACATGAGGCTGAACAAAATTGTGTACACAAGCTCCCAGTTACATCCAACAATGGCAAAAATATAAAGTGTAAAAGGAAATATCCTGATGCATGCTCAATAATCCAGGTAGAAAAATCTAAAAAAGTTAAATCTGGTCCTCTGGACATTCAAAAAAACAAAACAAAGCAAATCAACAAAAAAA